ACATTAACAAATTAGTTTACATCACACAGGGAATGATATTTAAAATAACTGTGCAAACATTTTGCAAAATTATTTTTATATAATCAAATTTCTTCCTGTTTGAAAAGGAATTCTTCACACTGAAAATGAAAAAAATACACATCGTCCCTATTTTTAAAAATACCTTTGCCAGCCCATGGAAATTGAATCACTGATACACTTATAATTTATTTTGTTGAGTGTTTTACCAAAGTAAAAATGCGGTTAGTCAAGTGAATGAGTAACAATTTTCCAGCCACAAATGTGAAATATAATAATACAATTTACTGGTATACCATGTATTTTTGAGGAAGATTTCTGGATTCTCTTCTGTTCTAATGATCATTCCTCTATTTTATGAAACTATATAAAATATTCAAAGTCTTTTAGCTGTGTAATACACTTTTGAAGGTTTTTACCATTTTTATTATTGCAAATGCAATGTAATATAAGTGATTTTTACATATGGTAAAGCAAACAAACTGACTTTAGAGAATTAAAATAAGGTAACTATAATTACTTTCAGTATCATAGTAATTCATTTTATTGCATTTTCCCTTACTACAGTTATTCTAAAATAATAATGTATCTTTTCAATTTCATGTCACTTGTAAAATGACTAGTGGCTAAGTTTTAGAAAAATATTTATGCGTATTTGAAATTAAGGAGCATATTTGAAATGGATTAATAACATGTCTTTCACTATAATAATTTTTTAAAAACACGTATTAACTGAAAGAAGTAGTTGATAAGTATTACTTTAGTTCCTAACCTCCATGGTAATATATCTACTGTTTTATTTATATTTTCTGGCTTTTGTGTTGACTATATACATTTTTACGTTTGTCTACATATAAATCAAAGTAAATACACATAAAGATCCTATTATATTTAAGGAAATAAGGATATTTTTAATGAATACTAGAAATGGATATTGAACTTCACCAAATATCCTTTTTTCTAAGTACCTATGGAAAAAATGGTATGGTTGTTTCAGTTTTTAATGTGATAAACTGAATTAATAGACTTCCATTTTGAATTAATAAATTATTCATTGAAGGGGCTCCCAAGAACTATATACTAATACTTTACACTTTTACATTAATATTCCTAAATGAAATTGTCCTATAGTTTTAATTTAGGTACCGTCCCCCAAAAATCTAGTAATTGTAAATTCACATAGACTTAACAAGGAATAAAACGAAGAGTTCTCATATAACACCCATCACTCAATTTGCCTCTACTGGTAACACTTTATATAATTACAGTATAATATCACACAAAAATGACATTGATATTATCTACCAATATTCAACTGTCACTAATTTTACATGAATTTATCAAGTTGTTTAGCCCTATGAAGGTATCATACATATACACTACACCGCATACCACCTGTCAGGATACAGAACACTTCCCTCACAAAGATGTGTCTTACAATCCATTCACAGCAACTATTACCTCCTTCCCTTCTCCTAACTTCTAAAAAGCACTAATCTGTTCTCTATTTCTGTAACTTTATTATTTCAACAATGTGATATAAGTAAAATAAAACTTTTTGGTATTTTTTTCCACTCAGCACAATTCATCTATAACACATTAGTTGGTGCATGTTCCTCTACCCCCACACTCCTTTGTCTGAGCACACTCTATGGTGAATCTATGGCATGTGTGTCACAGCAGACTATTTGTTACCATTAAAAGCTCTGGGCTTGTCATCACTGCTCTAGGCGATGGATATACCACAGTGTACCATTTATCAGCTGAAGGCCATCTGGGTTGCTTTAATAAGAGTCATAACAGTTTTTGGCTATTATGAATAAAGTGGCTATAAATATTTGCATACAGCTTCTGTGCAAACAAAACCTTTATTTCTCTGGACTAAATGCTACAAGGTAGGTATATGTTCAGTTCCATTAGGAAACTGCCACACTCTTCCAAAATGATTATAGAACTTTATATTCCTATCCTGCAATTGAGTTTTTCCACATGCTCAACAGCATTTCATTTTACCAATATTTCAGGCATTTTTCTAAGCATATACGGGTTTTGCAATGCCTGTTGTTTTTTTGGGTTCCTGTCTTCCAACATTACCCACCATGGTCCTCATACTAAGGACCTAAACTCAGGACCTTTACACTTAACTATAACCCCAGTCCCTTCATTTTTGTTTTTTATTATGAGACTGGATCTTACTATGCCACTAAACTGACCAGTTACAACTCTGCTTTTTATATGAAGCTTTTTTTTCCTCTGAATGTTACAGAACTAGAATTATGCTTCCTTAAATTTGGTGGTGCTCACATGTGAAAACTGTATTTGCAGAGTGCTTTTACTGGTGAACAATTTGACTTAGATAGATATTACCTGTGGAGAGTGTTAGTAATTTTCTGTCTTTGAGACAAGCTGACCTTGAACAGGCTATATAGCCCAGGCTGGCCTTGTACTCATAGCAATCCTCCTTTCTTAGCTTCCTGAGTGACAGAATTACAGGTATATGCCACCACACCCAGCTTGAATATTTTTTGTGAAATAGATTAGCTTTTAACAATAAGCACTTATTACTTCTACAATTAGTTTTTAAAAAGTAATTCTCATCTAAAAACTGAGAAGACAAAAATAGCCATCTTTTTTAAAAGAGGAAGTCATAAAAGTTTAACAACAAACATCATTAAATCAAGAATGACAAACCACAAGACACTATACAGTAGGTATTTTTCCATGGATTCAATTATAGCATTAATACAGAACAGATTTGGTTTCAATATACATGTACTCTTCTTGCTCCTGCAAATACTCATTAATTAAGCCCTTGCAGCACATTAGACATTAATGCAAAGGAGAAAAAAAAAGTACAAGTGTTCTCTCAACCAGCCAAGTAAGGGAGGTAGACTTATTAACAAACTATTAACGGATTTAAAGTATAAGTTATTACTAGAAAACAGGTGGGAGCTTCGATCTACTCAGGAGAGTCAGGGATGGTGTCACGAAGTACTTTCATCTGCAATCTGCCCTAAAGATGAATTAAGATTTGCTTCACTTTCACCTCTGAAAGAAGTGTTAATTTACCTTTTATTTTCAGTACCTTGCCTGGACCTATTAAATAGGTACTAACTAATTTAAGTTCTCTGGACGTCAAATAATGATGCCATGCATAAATAAATGAGGGATGAAACAATATGGTATACCTAGAAAATAAATTATTTTGAGTGGCTGGAACATAATATATAGTTTAGTTAGTATCCAGTGGCAGAAAAGTAACATGGGGTCAAAAATGTAATTTACATTAAGTTGAAGAAGCTGGGCTTTATTCTATGGGTCAGTTGGAATGATCAGATCTGTCTTACAGAGGTATCAGCATAATAGTGTGAATAATGGGGCAGAGAGTGAAATGAAAAATCAGTCAAAAAGCTATCGCCAAAGTTTAAATGTAAGAAGACTGGGATCAGAATTTTAAAAGTTATAGGTATGATGGAACCAAGGAGAAAGAATTTGAGAGCTGAGAGAGATTCAAGGAGGAACTAATACGAATCAGCCTGACTGGATGAAAAAAGAATGATGTACTTTTTTTCTTTTTAAAAAGAATGATGTTATCAAATTTAAACTATCTGAGACAGAAGACAAGAGAACATCGGATTAAGGTTTACTCACTACTTTTTACATTAGGTAAGTGGTGGTGACTATTAAATAAAACAAGAGAATGAGAGGACTATATGTGAGGAAAGTGATGTCTCTAATACATGTTAAATCTCTAGAAAGGGCCTCTTATCAGGGACATGTTGGAGCCATTCAACAACTGTTTCTGGCCCAGAACTAGCCACATAACCCCAGGCTGGCCTTGAATTACTGACTTCTGTCTCAGCCTGCCCTGTTCTGGGATTACAGGCACTGCAACATCACATCAAGTTTATTTCTTTTAAATTAGTATTGTGTAAGAATTTCAAAGTTATCCTTTATAATCAAATTATGCTTTTGCTTCCTCTCTGTATTTCATCTTTTTTATTTGTGCTTATAATCAAAATTGCCCAATATTTTCTAATATTCTTCAATATGGCACAGCTGATCTCAAAAAGGTATTGTGCACCCTTTTACTCTCTCTTACCTGATTTTTCTTGGTCAACAAAAGGTTCCCCTTTCTACACTTGCAATGGAAAGAAGTATGTACCTGAAGCATTTCTCTATATACTCATTACTTTTATAGTATTAGAACCATTTTCAAAATTTAGATGTTCAACTTAACAAAACATTTCCCAGACATTTGCATCTCATTTTCAACACTATGTGACTAGATAAATAAAAATATTTCCAGTTGGGCTGGGGATTTAGCTCAGTGATCTAAGCACCTGCCTGGTAAGCTCAAGCTTATGAGTTCAATCCCCGGAATCCCTAAAAAATAAATAAAAATACAAATTTCCCATAGATATTCTCTGAGAGCTGAAACCTGGCTACTGAAATCTAAGTTCATGGTTTCCCTAACCCTGATCTGAATCTCCAATGCTTTAAATTTTCCATTAACAACTGTTATTACCATTTCTGAGGAAATCCATTCAGCTACAAATCTTGAAATTTCTTATTTTTTAATTTTTATATCTTATCCACTAAAAAATTCCATATACTAAAATTCTACAAAATGATCCAAATTATGATCCAAATTATCTTTTTTTAAACAAGCTGCAAGCCACACTTTATTACACATTTCTGAATCATGAGAGAATATCTGCAAGATAGCTCTCTTTGTCACTGACTGTCGTGGGGAAAAAGTTCCTGCAAACAAAAAAAAAGTCAAAAATTAAAAAAAAAAAAAAAAGTTTAAGCTGAAAATGGTGGCACACTCCTAGAAACCCAACACTTAGGAGGTTTAGGCAGGAGAATTGTTCACAAATTCGAGACCAGCCTGGGCTACAAAGTGAACACAAGGCCAGCCTGAACTACATAGCAAGACCCTGTCTCAAAAAGACAAAAATAAAGGAAATAAAAGTCCTACATGTATGGAATGCTTCATGAATCTTCGTGTCATCCTTGCACAGGGGCCTTGCTAATCTTCTCTGTATCATTCCAATTTGGTGCCAAAGCAAACACCAAATATTATCTTCTCAATAGGATTTTTCAATCTATCCATTCTACATGAAACTCCTAAATAACTGTTGGTGATTTATTCTTGACAGCAAATTTACCCAGGGCCTATACCAATTTTTATCAATTTTACAGTAAGAATGCAGTATACCTTAGCCAAGCTTAGCCAATAATGAAGTAAATAAACCTTAATGTCTCCCTCCATGGACTTTAAAAATGGGTTTTATGAATTGTTTAATGGAAAAAGCAAAGGACAGCATAGAAACCAAATTTATCTTCAAAGAATCAGTCTTTCAAACAATACACTTTGGGAAATGCTATTAGTGGAGTGAAAATTAGAAAATTTCCTAATGTAAATACACTCCGTAGAATGATTATCAATGGTACTACCATTTCCTTGAGTGCGTGCAGTAATCCACTATTTCTATAAATTACCTATTCACATATGTATCTAACTTAAAATCCCAGTCACAATTACTATCTTCCAGAAGTCATCCGTAATACCCCCACTAACTTCCAATACTTCAATACTTTAGGCAACTAAACATTATTGGCGAAAGGAGATTATTTCATACAATCTAATATTCCTGTCACTTGATTAGCAGTTAGTACCTCAACATACTATCTTACTCTCAACATAATCCAAAACAACACTATATATCTGCCATCCAAAAGAGCACATACAAAATAAAATTTAACTTTCTAAATATATTTTATGTCTGTTATATTTTAGATTTCCTGCCTTGTCTTCATTATAAAGGTGTTTATTCTTAGCATCAAGAGAGTATGTTCTGGTAGCAAATTTTCTATCTTTCTAATCCTAAGTGGATTGAGGGGAAAAAAAAAAAACCCTCAGTTTATTAAAGTTGTATACAAAATTCATTTAGCTAGATTCAAAATAAAGATCTGAAGTATTTCCCTGAGTGTTAAGAAACAACTTTCAGCACACAAACATGGTAGGTAACATGTATTATTTATTCTTACTTTTGAGCTCTCAGCTAATGTTCAGTATCACAGGGGACAAGACAAGTGATTTTACCATATTCTTTGTTTCACTTTGTGAGTTTACTGAGAATAGATGGATGAAATACTATAAAACTAAACACAGAAAAAAACAACTATTATCCAATAGGCATTTTACATGCATTCTCTCATAGAGTCCTTATACAGTATTTACTCCAGAAATTCTGTAATTACATAGTATTAACTACTTAATACAATTAAAGCATAATAATGTCTGTCTTCCTAGCACCATCTTGTACGACGTTTTTATGAAACTGACAAAATATACTCATTTTGGAGGAATACTAAAAGATAACTTACCAGTAGAAGTTGAAGTAACAATTTCAACAGTTTTTGAAGTATCTGTATCTTTTCTGTTTAAAAGAAAACAAACAAAAATTGGCCTTAACTTTCTAGGCTCCATAAAGATTCTAAATATGCAATGTTTAAATTTTTAAATTCACAAATTCAATTGGTGTTGATGGGAGTGTAGACTGGTAGAATCACTGTGGAAATCACTGTGGAGATTCCTCAAAAACCTAGGATTAGAGGTTCTATTGAACCCAGATATTCATTCCCCTTCTGGGTATTTTCCCAGGAGAATTGAAGATATCATACCATAGTGATATATATACACTCATGTTTATAGCTGCACAATTTGTAATAGTTAGATCTTGGATGCAATCCAAAGGCCCATCAATTGAGGAATGGATAAAAAAGATGTGATATTTTATACAATGGAATATTACTTAGCCATAAAGAACAATAAACGAGGCTTTTATAAGTAAATGAACCAGAAATGATACTTGCAAGTGAAATAAATCAGACTTGCATGTATAAAAAAAGTTCAGCTGGAACAATGTCCGATTTAAACTATAGTTATGATGATTAAAAAATGCAAGGTTTTTTGGCTTTTGTTTGTATCTTATGGTACTGGGATTAAATCTAAAGTCTTATACTGAGTCATACTTTCAGCCACTCCTATTTTTAATTGCCTTTTTTTAAACTTTTGAGATAAGAGTCTCACTGAGTTGCTGGATTAGAATTATATTTGTGATCCTCCTGCCTTAGCCTCTCCAACTAGCTAGGATTACAAGTATGTAATCCTCATGCTCCCCTCCCAATGCAGTTAAAATTTCTCAATTCGTATGTATATTAATTCCAAATCATGGAATCACTTACTTTAATGCAGTTGTAGATGACTTCTTTGAATCTGAAGTTTTCTTCTTCATCTCTTTGTTCTATGAAGGAAAAATATTTTAAATAAAGTTTCAGCTTTCTCCCAACCATAAAAGTTAGAAAACAAAAGCATAAAGAATTAACAAATATAAACATGTAAAATCTTCCTACTTTGAAGTATATACAAATAACTGCAGATAGATACATCCTCTAATCTGTAAACGTATAGAATAATTTTATATCCTACCTTTTACCACTCATGTACTTTTTACCATTAGCTTTCAAAAACACAATTTTTTTTGTAGCGCTCTGACATTTCAGATTGCTATGATCCTGATCCAATCAACCAGAGTAGATTACTTGCTTTGATTACTACAATTGTGTCAGGAAGTCTCTTTACTTCTGTTCTTTCCTTTTATATCACTCTCTATTGACAACATAAAATCAGATGGAACCAGCCATTCCTACACAGAAAACTTTTCATCACACTATAGAAAAAGCCAGTACCCCTTCTCTATGTAGTATACATTCCAGCTCTTCAGTGGATGAATGGAATTACAGATATTAAATCCTATATGTAATACAATTATTTCTATACCTATACATCTATGATAGTTTATAAATTAAGCACAATAACAATAAAATTAAAGTATAAACATTAAAATTAAAGAGTATGGTTTCTCAAAGTATCTTAGCACTTTTACTTTTTCACTTATAGCACTTTCAAGTTTCTCTTTGGTGCGTACGAAGTGCCAGCTTTACTACTTTTGCACTCTGGGGTTATAATTAAGTAAAATAAGTGTCACTTGAACAGAAACTGTGGTACATCAAGAATCACTGAGGAGACAGAGACTACTATCAAGTGACCAATGTGCAAGTTAACATATACAGCATAGATACGAGGCACAAAGAAATCCTCAGAATGAAGAAGGTCACCTGAAAATTTTTGTAACACCTCTCAATGACACACAACTTAAAACTTATGAATTATTTATGCCTGGAATGTTCCATTTAATATCTCTGGACCACAGTGGACCATAGGACTCTAACATTGCAGAAAGTGAATCCAAAAATAAGGAAGAGCTACACTGGCTGAAAGAATGTACACTTTATGCTCCACTTGCCACCCTTAAGCCACCAAGTATCTTGCTGTACTCTTCAATCTGCAGCACCAAACAGCCTTCATACTCCTTAAACAAGCTACACAGGTATGGAACTCAGTATTTGACAGCTATTGTTCCTTCTGTCTGAAATGCTCTCAACCTAACATATGGCTTGATCCCTCACCTCGTACAAGCATTTGGTCAAATATCACTGAGCTGTTCCCCAACTACCTTATTAAAAGTTGCATGGTTACTTATTGCCCAGTTAAGAGAACTTCTATTCCACTTCTCTGGTATTTCTCACAGTACACTTGTTGCCAAGGGACATGTCTATACTTTTTTTTTTTTGGTTTCTTTTTGGTCCTTTCTCTACCTATTTAAGTGCAATTCTATAGAGACCAGGAACTTTATTTAATATTCTATCCCAGTGTCCAAAATCTTGCTTGGTAATTAGTGAACATTCAGTAAACATTTGTTAAATGGACCTGAATTTCATAATTATTCTACGTAATTTTGTATTTTCTATTCTTTTTTTGGGGGGGGGTGTCTCACTATGCAGTTCAGGCTGGCCTTGAGCTCACTTTGTAGCCCAGGCTTGTCTCAAACTTGCAAGGATCCTCCCACCTCAGCCTCCCAAGTGTTGGGATTACAGGCGTGAGCCACCACGCCCGGCTCTCTGTGGGTACTGGGGACTGAACTCACAACCTCATGCTTGCCAGGCAGGCACTTATGCCGCTGAGCTAAATCCCCGGCCCCATATTTTTTATTCTTTTTGGGCATTCCTGCCATTTTCTTTTACTGTATATAAGAGATTTTAAACCAAATGTCTCCTTCACCTCAGTGATTTAGAAGATATTTAACCATCTATTTTTATTCTAACAGTTACTTTCAATTAAAAAAATTAAACTACTAATTTCCTCTGTGTAAGTTAAAATAATTAGCCCTCATTTCCTTTGGCTACATTCTAATTTTTGCTCTCATTTCTTTTTTTCCCTTTTGATTCTAACAATCAAAATCAGGACCTCAAACTTGTCAGACAAGCACTGTGCCACTGAGCTATATCCCCAACCTATATTCCAATTTTTGATGATCTATTTTAGACTAAAACTATCCCTTCTTGACAGGCATGGTGGTGCATATTTGTAATCCTAAGACTTGGGAGGCTTACACAGATAGACTGCTAGGAGTTTGAGCCCAGTGTGCACTAAACAGCGAGAAAACCAAAAACCAAACCAAACCAAAAAATCCTTTCTTGGTAATTCTAATCAGTATTTTATGCAATTTTGTTAATATATTAGTTGGGTTTTACTAAGTTAAAAATGGCTTCACATTTTATAACATTTAATTCTCCATTTAAAGCTCTTCATTTTACATTAATGATTCAGAAAATATGTAAGTAAAATAACTTTATGAGCACAAACACTTCTGAAAACACTGCCCTAACATTTGTATTTCATTGAAACAGATGTACTGAATTACGATGAGTCAGAATCTTTTTCGAACACAATCCTGAGGACATACTGCTTAGCTACCTACCTAATACCAGACTATTTCTTTGCATAGTTTCTGCCTAGTTTGCTACAAGTTTTCCTCCACAACTACAAAGCAAAACATCTCCATCAGTATTTGAGTGATACTCTCTTTCTGGAATTCTAGTTACACACAGACTGGGTTTCTTACATGTATGTAACATGCATTTCCTTTTATCAGTTTCAGCATAGCCTTCTCTAA